GTATCGGGTCTCTAGTATTAAATAAATATGCCTCTTATAATCTGTGCATGTATGTGTGCTTGTGCATGTGTATATGTTGTGTTATTGTTATAGATAGCAAATGTCACGATAGAAGAGATTTCTTATTTTACTTGGATTACATACCTCCTGGGAATACAAATTGCAAATGGAGAATTTAGGGATGCTTTCTAGACATAAATTGTTGTATGTGAACCTGGATCCTTTTACAAATTGGGCTGTTTGCCAGGGATGCATTTTATCCTGACAATCGGAGTCCTGAGGAGAAAGCAAGCCCTAAGACTGACATAGTCTATTCTTCCTAACAATGAAAATCTTAAATTTAAATCACTGAGAATAAGTGGTTGGGAATATTTTCCAGCTCTTTAGTTTCAAGACAGAAAGGCAATTCAGTTTATGGGCAAAAAAGTGAAAAGGGCATTTAAAACTCTGCTTCCCTATGATTGATGTCTCTGAGTCTTAAATGTGTAAGACTGTTTTACATATTTAATGTCGCCGATGTACATAACATTAGGATGAAGTAGTTTATATATATGTCAATCCCAATTATCTTGTTCCATGATATGGCAAGTGCGGTAATGCAATTTCATGGTTTCCATTTGTTAAGAAGTCATCATACTTATTTGAATGCCTTTTGTGCCAACCATTGTGCTAGGTGATTTAATTACATGGTGTCATTTAATGTTTGCAATCCTATAATAGCTGGATATTCACAGCTGGCAGTTTTGTAGGCTAAATTCTAAAAAATGAAAACTCCAGAATGATAATTTCAAATGTGCTTTTCTCCCTAGATGAGTGATGCATTCCATTTAATTAAATTGTTAGCTTATCTTAAAATTGCATCTCCTTCCCATGGAACCCATTTCACATAGAGAAACAGGCTCTTCCAGTTCTACCTCATGAGCCGCCCAGGCAAGGTTTTCTTCGTTGACTTGGTTGAAATAGTGAGCATATGAAAGCCTTGGCTGAAACTGGTCTTATGTGAATTGAGAGAAGCATTGTCAGTTTCAGAAGCAATTAATACAATTGGACTGGAAATTAGGCTGGGAAGATTGAGCAACATCAGGACAGAAATTACAGCTCTGAGCACTGGACTAGCAACGTTAAACATAGGATAGCTTATTCCCTTAAAGCCCCTGAAAATTAGGTGTGGTTGCCCCCGTTGTGTAGGTGAAAAATGGCCCAGACAGATCAAGAACTTTGTCAAGGTCACACAATTAGTAATATATGTAATGAGCAGTATGTCACTTCCAGGGTACCTTACTATGTCTTGTTTGTTCCCTTTCCTTTCATCAGTTATTAATGGAAACATTCTCTTTGTTATTATTTTAAATAATCTTTATTGGGAAACATTCACATTAAACATAGAGATAGTCTAGTCTTAATATTTTACTTAATATATTTCAAAACATTGACATAGACCGAGAATGAGAAAAATCAATCCAATTGATCAAAACTGTGTTGAATGTGAAAATGGTAAAATGAAAATCCAAAATGATAATGCACCTGGTTCCTTTTAAGAAAGGTAAAGATTCAGGAGGGATTCAAGTGGCAATTTGGCAGTTGGGTCATCAACACAGAGGAAATCTAGTTCCTGGATAATTTTATGCCTTGCATTATTTGATTTGCCATCTTTTTGGATTATGCTGCACCAAATAATTGCCAAATCTCTTCTTCAGTCTGTGTTGCACAGACAGCTCAAGGGAAAAGGTTGTACCAGAAAAGCACCGAAGAGAAATGATTGAATTGTTTTTCCTATCCATGAAGCAATCTGATTAACGGTGTGGAACATCTTTGCTTCTGTGGTCACTGCTGTAGTCCCAGAGCAGGTGCTGTAAATACCACACAAACACCTATAGGGACGTGCAGCTACCATACCTGTTTGAAACATGTTGGTGTAATGAAAAGGTGTTAAGCTGCAGGTACTAAGACTGATCATTACAGCCACCTATTTTCTTTCTTTCTTTTTTTTTAAAAAAATATATTTTATTGATTTTTCACAGAGAGAGGAGAGAGGGATAGAGAGCCAGAAATGTCGATGAGAGAGAAACATCAATCAGCTGCCTCCTGCACACCGCCTATCAGGGATGTGCCTGCAACCAATGTGCATGCCCTTGACCGGAATCGAACCTGGGACCTTTCAATCCGCAGACCGACGCTCTACCACTGAGCCAAACTGGTTTTGGCCAGCCACCTATTTTCATTGTCTTTATATGTAGTTACACTTGATGCTTGAACAACATGTGTTTGAACTGTGTGGATTCATTTACACATGTATTTTTCCCCCAATAAATGCTATAAATATATAAAAAACAGCAATACTTTGTAGTGTAGGGTGTCATGTCCAATCATTTAAAAAATTACCTATTTTTTAATTCTCATCCAAGGACATGGAGAGAGAGAGAGAGAGAGAGAGAGAGAGAGAGAGAGAGAGAGAGAGAGAGAGAGAGAGAGAGAGAGAAACAGAAACATCAATCAGTTGCCTTCCATATGTGCACCAATCAGGAATCAAACCTGCAACCCAGGTATGTGCCCTGACTGGGAGTCAAACCAGCAACCTTTTGGTGCATAGGATGACATTCAACCAACTGAGCCATTCTGGCTGGGCCATTCGGCATCTTTAATAGCCCAAAGCTCATGTTGTTTTATGCCTTCTATCAAGTGATCTGAATTAGTCTGAAAGAAAGAAATGGTGGGGTGGAGTTTTAGCACCATCAACATGACAGAATGCCAACACGCCATTCCCTCTGTTCCCTGCTACATTCCCACTGAACAAGACATTACATTCTAGCCTTCTCTTTTCCCCTAGCCCCCTCCTCCTCCTTCTTTAAACTACATTCAGGAAAAACATTTTTCCTGACTTTAAATTCCTATGCAATTATTGTACCCTTGTTGACATTTCACTGTTACATCCACATACCCAAAAGGGTAATTATGAAAATATAATGTGAGAAAAGAGAAACATCATCATTTTAATTGGTGAGGATTAATCAAATTATAAGAATTAATCATATTAACCTCAATGAACTGTTTCAGAATCTCACCTCCAAAGCTGATATAAAGGTAACCTGAGCTCTCCTGTGAGGGCTATTTATATCCATTAATTGTTACAATACAAGATGCACTGGGTCTCAGCTGGCTGCCATTTCTTCTGTATTTGAAATGCGCTTTTCAGCAGAGATCGGAGGACACCGTTGGGACTCATTTGAGTCTGACTTTCACATTAATTTTGCTGTGCTGTGAAGAGCAAAGACAAAATCAATGTCCATCAGTGATTATTCAAGGTAAAATATCTAGTGATATTGAGTACCAATGGCAGCACCAGGCATAAAATTTACTTAAGATTTGTTGAGTTGACAGCCATTTATTTCAGTCCTGCTTCATTTTTCATGTTCCACATATTATTTTTTCTTTTTTTTAAGGAAAATAAAGACAATTACAAGAAAAAAAAATAAATTCTACTTATTCAGTTGGCCAGAAACAAGATCTATTTCAGAATGGGAGAGAATTAAAGTTGTAGGATTTTACAGAGCTAAGTATGAATAATATGTTTCCAACTGGCAGAAGCAAAAGATTTCACAGTGCATATTGACACAAAACCATGTGACTCAATTAAATTTTCATAATGAAGGGTCTTTGTAACTCGTGGCTGAACTTAAAAAAAACAACAAAAAGCCTTGAGCTTGTTTCTTGGGCCCTGAATAAATATTCTTAAGCTGAACACATGCTTATGGCAAAAGAGAACTAATACATCTGGGATTATAATTTTGTTTCAATGGTATGCTGAAATCCAAATATGCTCTTTATGATATACTAGTAATATTCTTTTGAAGAAATTATGAACAACAAACCAACAACAACAGCAAGTGAATAGTAAACCCCCTATTTTATCATGCCTGAGTCTCCAGCCTAACTTTTTGGTCAGATAGTAGTATGAGAAGAGATGTGGGAGAGAAGGAAGTTCTCTAATGGGTCCATGCTGGGGCCACAAGCAACATGGCAGACACTCCTTCTCATCAAATTGAGTTGGCAATGCTAGGCAGACACACACCCCATTTCCATTCTTCCCTTATGAACCTTTGCTTACATGTTCAATGTGGTTGAACAGAGAAGACAAGAAAAACAGGTATCAGGCTTTTTTTGGTGTGTATTTCTCACAGTAAACAGTCAGTGTGAGTTGCTTATGTCTCCATTGGTTATTTTGCCATGGTCTGCATCTCTCATGGGGACTATCTTACAAAATATTATCTTCTGAGATATATCCTTCAAAAATTATCTTTCATTTTTGACTCTGCAGCATTTTGTAATTTAACATGAGAACTTGAGAATTTAGCCCTGAGAAATAGCTTCATTCACATGGCTGTAATTAAGGACAGACCTCCAGCCTCTAACGTCTATTAGAGAACATCTGGGCCTGAGGACGGAAGTTGTTGCCTAGTAATTCCTCTCTCCCTGGGTAAGGCAAAGGTGAGGGCTTAAAGGTATGAGATGAACAGCCAAGATCTATTTAAGAAGTTTTATTCTACATACAAAGTCCTATGCATTTCATTGTATATTTCTACTCTCCATGCTTTGTTGTCTATTAGGGCATGGGATAAGTTTATTTTGTTCATTTGGTTTTTCATGCCTCACACCTGGGATAAAGAGTAGGCTCCATAAACACACGTTGTCAAGAAATATGAGCCAAGAGGAGGCAGCCCATGTCTGGGAATTCAGATCTCAGTTTTGTTGCTCATAATTCTCATAACCTTGCCAATCTGTGTCTGCAGCTTTAGTTTTCATTCTATGTAGAATGAGGGGGTACAACTATTTGTGCCCCAATGAGGATCACTATTCAAAATTTTTTTTGCATTAGTTTTGCCTGTCCTTGGAGTTCAATATAAATGGAATCATAGAGTAAGTACTTCTTTGTTTCTGATTTTCCCCCTCAAAATAAATTTTGCCATTGTATCAATAATTTGCTACTTGATATTTCCAGTACCAAAAATATGAAACACTTCATGCATTTGCATTTTATCTTTGCATAGAGGCCATGCTAATCTTCTCTGTATTGTTCCAATTTTAGTATATGTACTACTGAAGCAAGCACACCATCTTAAATTTTTTTAAATGTGTTTATCACATGTAAAAAGTTGAGAGTTGGGCATAGAAGAGCCTGAAGGAATAGTATGATCATGGTATTTTTCTATATACTGGAGGCCCAGTGCATGGATTTGTGCACCAGTAGGGTTCCTTAGCCTGGCCTATGGGGATCAGGCCAAAACTGGCTTTCTGACATCCCCCAAGGGGTCCCAGATTGTGAGAGGGTACAGAGCAGGCTGAGGAACTCCACCGGTGCACGATGGGGGGCTGGGGAGGGATCCAGGGTGTGTCTGGTCTGTTTTGCCCAGTCCTGATTGGCCAGATCACAGCAGCAAGCTAACCTACTGGTCGGAGTGTCTATCCCATGGTGGAAAGTGCGCGTCATAGTGACTGGTTGAATGGTTGGACACTTAGCATATTAGGCTTTTATTATATAGGATTATTACTGTCATTCTCTCCATTACTCCGACCATCTACTCCCACATCTTTCCAAAGCTGTGGAATTGGTGCAGTCACCACCTGTGAAAAGTATAAGCTCCAAGCAGAGGCTAGTGATGCCAAGAGAAGTTTCCCAGTTTCCACTTAGAAAAATAGAAAATGACATTGTTAATTGTAGAATGGATATCTAGAGAGTTGTGCCAATATTCCCTTATCTAACCAGCCTTTCAAAATTGAATGCAGTCCTGGAACCACTGGATCAGATACCGTCCCTTTTCACATTGTTGGGGAGAGAAGTTCAGGGCTTCTCAGTCTGTCTCTGTTTAGTGCAGATTGTATCAAATTTAAAAGAAGGAGAATGATGTTAGTTTCATTCCATTTTATTGGGATTTATGCAAATCCCATTAGGAAAAAATATTTTTCATCTAGAAATTTTCATCACACTCAGTGCCGAGTTAATCAGCTCATAGACAAAGCAGTTAGTTACTGCAAGTGTCTAAGATGAAAGGTGTTATAAAAAGTACAATTATAATAATTAGAATCATAATATTAATGATAGTGGAATTAACACCTCGACCTCCATCTTCCTCTACCAAAATCTGTGCACCATTCCTAAAGATACAGCTGAAAAAGGCTTTTCTACACCTTGTCCTTCTCAAAAGCAATTAATTTCAACATAAGAAAGTATGATTAGAATTCAAAATAGTTTGAAAATACAATATTACTTTATAAGGATGTTCTGACCAATTATTCAAAATAACTCTTGAGCCGTAGTTGGTTTGGCTCAGTGGACAGAGTGTCGGCCTGTAGACTGAAAGGTCCCAATTTCGATTCTGGTTAAGGGCACATGCCCGGGTTGTGGGCTAGATCTCCAGTAGGGGGCAGGCAGGAGGCAGCCTATCAATGATTCTCTCTCATCATTGATGCTTCTCTCTCTCTCTCCTCCATTACTCTCTGAAATAAAAAAAATATATATATATTAAAAAAATAACTCTTGAAACTTGTAATGACATCATCCTACTTACGATTCCATAGAGATAGGAGGTAAATGGTAGGCACTTCATTTGGGTTTTCTTGATGAATAAATAAGTGAACCAACAATCATATACATTTTGAGTGCTTACTACACAATGGAATCAAAGGACCTAAAATGTTTTCTACTCATTATAGCACATTGGGAAAGTAAATATTGAAATATAAAAGAAAACTGATCAGAACCTAATTCCACTGCTCAGAGCCCTTTTGTTACATAATATGATGATTCATTTCCTTCTAGGCTTTTTTTTTTTTTTTACCGTTACATTTTTCCATTTTATTTGTAGTCCTACAATCTTATAAATATATCATGTTAGCAGCATTTCTTATAGTTATTATTTGAGAGGTTAATAATGTCCTAGTTCTAGGTAATTTTTGCAGGAATTCCAAATAAATGTAATTATACATAGGAATTTAAGGGTTACACAGTTTTGTGAAGGATAGTTCCTCCACTCATAATAATTAATAATTCTATAGGAGCATATTTCTCTTTACCAACACTTTACATATAATCCAGATCATTTAGATATCAAGGGTTCTATTCTATTTATTCTTTTGTATGTTGCATTTTATTTTACTCAGGCACCTGGGGGGATCTTGTTTCAGAAAATTCTAGCTAATGTAATAATGTAAGTCTGTTATACCAGCAAGAATTCATGTCTACAAACAGAAATAAAGCTCTAGTATTTTTTTCTTCCTAAGCATATTAAAAGTAATTATAATGATAACTGTGATTATATTCAGTAGTACAATTTTATGTACTACTTATTCTAGTTCACCAGTTTTCAGTTGTTACCTTATCCCTTCAGATTGTAAAGACCAGAAACTAATTTAGTTCACTTAAAGGAAATCAACCAACCAACAACAACAAAATGAAGAAGGTTGTGCCTTCTCGAATGGTCACTATGGCCTAGAATTAGAACTGAGAGCTGTTAAAGGTTGAGGCAGCTCTGGTCAGTTTTCCCTCCATCTTGACTTAGTTCTATGGCCTCTCTCTTTCTGTGACTCTTCCTTCATCCCTTCATCACCTGGCTCATGGTTGCCATAGTCTCTAGAAAAAGCTTCAGAAGAAGCCAGTCTGGTTGGCATAATCATTTACCACTGTCCTTACTGAGCTAGAGGGACAGACCATTTGTGTGTCATCCTCGAGGGCTATCCCCTGACCTGTGACCCTCCTCTGACTGTATCCTGCTTATTGGCCACATGCCTTTTAAATGGTGGGACCTGATATGGGAGTCCAAGATAAAAATTCTTGCCACCATTGGCATGAAAGTGAGCCTTCTACAACCCTCAGGAGTTGAGAAGGAAACAGTAAGACACTTCTACATTTGCATGTTGGATATAGATCTAAGGCGAGGGCAAACTTCTCAGAGGCATTTTCTGTGCATTATTAGCATTTATTCAAGTCTGACCTTTGAGCTGTGGGCTGAATTTCCCAGCCATGAAGGTGCCAGCAGGGCTGCGAAATAACAGCCAGGCTTTCCTCCTGTTCCCTTCACTCTCCCGGATATCTCATGAAGCACTCTCTTGTTTGATCAATTCTTTTTCCCTAGTCAGGAAGAAGCCCATGGAGCTTGCCTCAGCAAGACTTCCCGGAGGCTCCAAATGAATATCTAGGCTCCCTGCACTCTCACTAGTCTGGAGAAATGTAACACGAGTCAAAAAGCTCTGCGATGCCAGGGCAGCTTCCCACTGGGGTCACATTTTTAAATTGAATTCTGGTGGGGCACATTTCCCAGGCTTTCAGGACATGTCTCAGAAGGCATTATGGGAAACTTACTCTTTTGTTTTATGAAATAAATGTATTCATGTTTTGTTTTTAGGTAGTCCTTCTAAAACATATTCATTCAATATGTTTGTTTCTTTAGCAACTACTATGGGCAGGAAACTTTGCCAGATGCTTGGAGTATAAGTGTGAACTGAAAAATCATAGTTCCTTCCCTGACAAAATTGACATTACAAGTACACACGCAGGCACACACATTGGCACTCCAAGAAAAGAGAGAATGAGAGAGGCTGACTAGGTATCAATTGTGCTTAGTACTTTGAAGGAAACCAAAAGGTGCAGATATAAGACTATTGAGAGGATGGTCAGAGAATGATGCCACGCTGAGGCTGAAGGGTAAAAAGAAGAAACTTTACAAAGATCAGAATACTTTTTTAGAATGTATTTTTCTTGATTTCAGAGAGGGAGGGGGCAGGAGAGAGAGAGATAAAAACATCAATGATGAGAGAGAATCATTGTCTGCCTCCTGCCAGTCCCACACTGGGGATCAAGCCTGGGTGTGTGCTGTCACCTTCTGGTTCATAGGTCGACACCAACCACTGAGCCATGCCGGCCGGGCAAAGATCAGAGTATTTGTTGTCTAGGGCTGCTGTAACAAAATACTACAAATTGGGTAGCTTAGGTCAACAGAAATCTTTTGTCTCACAGTTCTGAAGGACAGCAGTCTAAAACCAAGGTGGGGGCTGGGCCACACTCTCTCTGAAGGCGCTGGGGAAGGATCTGTTCAGGCTTCCTGGCTTTCGGTGGTCTCAGGCAGTCCTTGGCCTGTAGATGGCCCTGCTCTCTATCTCATCACAACGTCTTCTCTTTGTGCGTCTGTTTCTATGTGCAAATTTCCTTAAAAAAAAAAAATAAGGACACAAGACATATTGGATAAGGACCTACCAGATGACCTCATTTTAATTTGCTCACCTCTCTAAGGACCCATTTCCAAATAAGGTCACTTTTTGGAGTACTGGGGTTATGACTTCAACATATCTTTTGTGTGTGTGTGTGTGTGTGTGTGTGTGTGTGGCGGGGGGGGGAGGAAGATACACAATTCGACTCTTAACATTAGTTGAGGGAATGGTAGGCAAACTCATTTGTCACCAGAGCCAAATATCAACACCACAGAGATTGAAATTTCTTTTGAGAGCCAAATCTTTTAAACTTAAACTTCTTCTAACGCCACTTCTTCAAAATAGACTCTCCTAGGCCGAAATATTTTGTGGAAGAGCCACACTCAAGGGGCCAAAGAGCCACATGTGGCTCGCGAGCCGCAGTTTGCCTACCACTGGTGTAGGCAGAGGAAACACATGCTCAAATCCCTGAGCCAGAATGGAGCTTGGGGAGCTGGAGAGACAGAAGGCTGGTGGGCAGGGGAGAAGCATGGCAGGAGGAGACTGCAAAAACATCCCTATGGATAATCCATCCTCTTTTACATCTGCTGTAGGAGCTCTCGGGGGACTCGCAGAGATAGCTATGTTTTGTCTTTTCATCTCCGCAGTTCATGGAGCGCAGCTAGGGACAGGAAGTCCCCCACTGGTCACGGTAGTTGCCAACTTAGATAGAGAAATTAATTTTTCTTAGACTTCAAATTGCCACTTTAGTGTCACCTGGCCAGACCAGGAACCGCAGGAGCCATCCTGTGAATCACCTGCAAATAAAGCTCTAAGAGACAGCAGGATGTGGACTCTGCACCATGTCAGAGTCGCATGCTGCGTGGCTTCCTCTGGGGATCGCAGCCTCACTGACTGCTGCATCTGCAT